TCTTACAGTCCATTCCACTCGCAGCACTGCGACATCTGCGGCATGGGCCACTCAGGCGTCCATTGAGGAGATTTGCAGGGCTGCGACATGGTCCTCGCCCTCCCCATTCGTACGCCATTACAGGATTGACCACTTCACTTCCGCAGACGCCTCCTTTGGTCGGAGGGTCCTTCAGCATGTGATCTCCGGGGACATGGTTCCGGCCTTCTGTTTCCCACCCATCAGGACAGTGAGGCTTTGGTATGTCCCATTGGTGGATTCTCCATCTCCTGTACTGGAGAAGGGGCGTTGTCTTACCTGAATGCCTTTTCTCAGTACGGAGATGGAGAATCCACACCCACCCTTTAGGTCAGTTAGGCCGATATTAAGGGATTGAGAGCCAACACCTCATCCACCTTCAGCTACTTTCACCCTCGTCAAGACTAAATCTCCTAGCAAGAGGGGGCATGTCAAGTTTGGCTACTTGGTCTCAAGAGCAGGCAGACAGAGAAAACCCATTAGTGGATTCTCCATCTCCTGTACTGAGAAAAGGCGTTCAGGTAAGACAACGCCCCATCACCACCACTTTGTAGAATAGAAGAAAAATTACAACTGGGAACATTACTGAAATTAAGTTTCTTTATCCGATATACTTAATCCTATAAATTTAAGCCTAAATCATTAAAATAATGCAGGTTTTTTTTCCATTGCCATTAATAGAGATAAATAAGAGATAAAGTCTGAATCTCAGCAGGAGCAATTTTCTGGTTTTTGTTTTAAAAAAGCAAGTACCAATTTGGTCATGAATTAATTAAGCAGCTACTTATTAAGATATAAATATTTTAGTAATTTATATACTGATGTTAATAATTTATATATTAATATTTCATAATGGAGTATTTTAAAGATATTGTATGCCCTGAAAAACTAGTTTTCCCCTGGAAAATTTGAATGATGCAATGTTTTTTTTAAAAAAATAAATAAACTTTTTCCTTCTTGTTTATGGATTTTTACACTATAAATATTTACCAAAATGTGTCAACCCTGTTCATGAAGTTCTACAGAATTATGTAACTATAATGGTGGGGAGCCAGGGAGGAGGTGAATGGAGGACATAGAGAGGACAGTGAAGTCAATGGCTTACTATGCAGAATAAGTCTTCTATGAAATAATCTTCAGGTGGCTACCAGATTGTGGCTGTTTACAAGTGATTACCCTCAGACTGGGTTATTTGGAAGTATTTGAGAATACAATATTGGCCTTATGAACTTGGTTTATTTGAACTTGCATTTTTTTAAACAAAATTCTCTCTTGCATTTTAGAAACTTTTAGAAAATGTATTTAAATACATTAAACCCTTTGGGATCAATAAAGGCATAGAATATACTTATCTAATACATTTTGGATTTATAATAAATAGAAAGGGAAGACTGATGATTGTTCTTTTTCCAATGCTATAGTCAAATTTTATCTCCTTGAACTGTATGACACCATTTTTTCCACAGGAACAGATTGCAAAGGAAAGGAAATGTGAACATTTCTAGAACACTTTCACAAAATGAACAAAAACATTACAAGGAATTTTAGCACTTTCTGAAAATATACACATTCTCACACTTTATATTTGGTTAAGTAAAAACTGTTTATTCAGTTTGTAGCTATTTGGAGGCATTTTTAAAGTGTTCTCAGTTAATTTAAATAAAATATATCTAAACTATTTTTAGTCTTTGTCAAATAAAGTGTGAAACAATACACTTTTCTTAATAACATCTGTTTTTTGAGGACTTTAAATGCCAAGCATTGGAATCAAGCAGATGTGTGATATTCTCCTTCTTTCCCCAAATGGGAGAAAGTACATACATAGAATAAAGTCCCAACCAAATAGCCTAGCCCAGTGATGGCGAACCTTTTAGAGACGGAGTGCCCAAACTGCAACCCAAAACCCACTTATGCATCGTCAGGTGCTGGGTGGGTGTGGCCCATTGGGTGGGCATGGCCCATTGGGTGGGCGTGGCTGTAGTGGTAATGGCAGACTGGTGGGACTAAAAAGTTCAATCGATTCCAAATTTGCAAGACCATTTTTTTCCCGTCAGAAGTTGAAATTGACTGATTGATTGAACCTTTTTTTTTTTTTTTTTTTTTTTTTTTGCACACGGCAGCGGAGGCCTAAAGCGAAAAGGTTTTATAAAACCCAGCTGAAGGCCTAGGACTGGGATAACAGCATGTGTGCCCACAGAGAGGGCTCTGAGTGCTGCCTCTGGCACCTATGCCATAGGTTTGCCATCACTGGCCTAGCCTATTAATACTTTTCCCTACCATTCCTTATAATAATTAATCATATAATACTTTAGAGTGCTTTCCTCAACACCTCTCATAGCCTGCTGAGTTGTACACGCACATGGGTCACTAGTAATTGCTATACAGTAGGGTGCAGCAATGTTTTTAGGAAGGTATGTCTATAAACAGATTAATAGTGCAGATCAGTACAAGTCAGTGAAAACTAAGGAAATCATGCCACTTTCAGAACCCTGGAATCTTTAGTATACAGTACAGGTCAGGTTGTGCAATTTTCTAAGTGCTTTCAGTAGAAAATAATTACCTTTTATTTCTTTACTTGGATCAAACATGAATTTAAGACTGTACTGACTCACAAAATTTATTATAACAATTTCTTTATTACTGTAACATATCTGAAAAGTATATTGTTCTGTAGTGTTTTTCCAAGAAATCATCGTTTTCATAAATTATGAAGTTTGTACTTTTAATGCAAAGTAATATGTTTCATAATGAGAATGAAAGAGAACATTCTTAAGACATTCAATATCCCTTTATCATAGTTGAACAGAGGACAATTCTGATGTTATTCCTGCTGCCCTGGCATATAGGAATGTTTTTCCCTATATTTGAGCAAAGTGTCATAGTACAGTTTAGAAAAAACAACTGAAAGGTTTTGAAAGATTTCCTTTCAATTTCATTGGATAAGGAAAGGGAATTATGACACCAAGCATGCTATTGTTTATTTGGCTTAAGTACATTGCAGTAGATTGTGTGAGGTTATGATTACTTTGATTTTTTTCCAGTCCAGAACCACCTTATTTATTCCCTGATGGGTTAAGCATACAGTAAAATATGGGAAGTAATATCTATATTCCTGGAAATGCTTCATGAATTTTAAATGGAACTCTAAAATATTTTTTAAAATGCCTTCTAGTGAAGGTAATGTTTCATGCATTCTGCATGGCTGTTCATTGCTTTCTAGTGCAACCTTAGGGATTAAATTTATAGATACTGTAAATTATTAATTACTTAGCAGTTTTAATGTTTATGCAATATTCCCTAAACAACTGGTCCCAATGAGCATGCTCCTTCAAAGAACTTGGGTATGAATATGGCAGAGATAGTCATTGACTTGATATCTCTGTGAAATGATCTGATATGAACATTTTCTTATTGCTCTTTGGAAGGGGTTAGTTTCTTTTCCTAAATTTGGATGGATGAATGACAGACAGAATGAAAAGATTTAGGCTCTTTTCATTTAGGCTCAGGAAACATTCCCTTGTTGCTAAGATTATTATTTTGTACAGTTTGGTGTATAGATAAGTGTCTTCTAATTAGTCAAAAGATGGCTAACGAAACATTTTAATCAGTCAACTTAAACATGCATTAACGTACATAGAAATAAAAGCAGTAATTTTCAGAAAACAGCCTTTTTGCTAAACATTTAAATAATTAAGAGTGAATGAAAATGGAGTTGTCCTATCCATAATTCGTAGAATGCTTCCTTATTTTTTTTTTTTTTCAAAGAAAGTTTTTGGCTGGTAGGTTGTAGGTTTTTTAGCACAAATTTAATAATGAGGTTGATCCCTCAGCAATTCTTAGCAGGGCTGGATTAAGGCATGTAATGCCCTAATTATAGCTGAATAATGGTGCCCCTTGACCCTTCCATTGCTTAACTGGCTTAAGACAATAAGTGCTGAAAACCAAAGTCAGTTGTAGCAGTGAAGGAGCTTGAGTGGGGGATAAAACCCTGTGGTGCCTCTCTTCAATTAGTATCTTAAGTGTATGCTTATTTTGCTTATTGGTTAATCCAGGGCTGATTGTTAACTAAAATAAGTAGTTTAGCTGTCTATTCATGTAAGCTAATGCTTGAGTTGGATACTTTTTGTTTGTTTATTAGAGCTATACCCCACTTGAATAGAATAGAATACAATAGAATGGGACCTTGGAGGTCCAGCCTCCTGCTCAAGCAGGAGAACCCATACCATCTCAGATTGGCATAGGTGATGCTCACTTCTTTATTTTCCTACAACAATAACATGGCTGGGCTGAAAGAAAGTGACTGGGTCAAAGTCATTCAGCTGGCTTATATAGAGAGGACTAGAAGACTTGGTCTCCTGGTTTTTAGTCTAGCACCTCAACCATTGCATTTAGCAGTAATATCAGACTGTGCTTGTGATTGTCTAAAAAAGAAAAAGACTCCAGTTGTGGGACTTTTCTTTCTGGCAGCGCCAGTCAGTATGGTCAGTAGTCAGTAATTACAAAAGTTGTAGTCTTAACAGTCGCCAAGAGACTACATTTCCCTACTCCAGTGTAGAATTAAAACTGATGGTTATTGAAATTGTAACCATGGACTAACTGAATTACTGATCTGCTTAAACTAAAGCAGTTCTAATAGTGTTATGCATATTAAAACATATTTTCAGTAGTGACATGGCTGTGTTTCAATAACCTCTCTTATTTTCAAAATATAACTGAAATATATCAATCAGCTAAATATATCAATTCTGATGCGTAGTGTGTATTAATGTTTAATTTAACTTAAAGTTAAATTATATATCAGTACACATTATGAATCAGAATTCCCTGCTAATCATGTTCAACTTTAGGCTAAATTGGTGTCATGCCTGTCTTGGAAACTGGCTCCACTTAGAAAGACTGTATTTAATTTTCAAACTGGGTAAATTTGGGGGGTAAATTTTAAATTAGAGTTAAATGCTAACCACACTCCTTGTTTTAAACAGGCACAGAAATTCTTGGCAAATCAGTCCGTATTATATTCTCTACGTTAGGAGTTTGCATATTTTTTGCAATTGGCTACATGTTGCTGCCACTATTTGCTTACTTCATCAGAGAATGGCGGATGCTGCTACTGGCTCTTACTATCCCTGGGGTGTGCTGCATTCCACTGTGGTGGTGAGTTTAATTGTTCTGAAAGTTGTTCAGCTTCAGAAATGTTGCCTCTGTAGCTGATAACCTTCACCCTACACTGTTATATAACCAGTAGGCATTTTACAGCCTTGAGTTGATGTAGATATATTTTTCCACCTTTGGCATTTGATTGCAGAGACCAGTGGATTGTTTTGATTGTTCTTTTAGCGTAAATTATCTTTATTTTGAGTCTGATCTGACTGCTTCTATAGGACTTACCCTGTGCGAGTTCTGGATTATGTTATTCTGACCTCCAACTTTAAAAAATAGCTTTAAAAAAAAAAGAATTGCAAATCATTGTTAGATGACTTCTCTTGCTCAAATTTCCCCCTTCTCAATCATCTTTAATTCCACTTTTTCTGTTGAGGTACCAACAAAATTTCCTGATAATCTAAAAGAGTCCATGATATTTTTAACAGCAGCTGCAGAAAGCAATACTGTATGGCTAAATCTCTCTATTTTTTCTAGTTAGTGTGTATGCATTGAATGTTCACAGTCATGTTTATATCTTTTAAGAAAAATTCTAATAAATTAACTTCATGAAACCATTAAAACAAATTACTGCATCAAAAGAACCCACTTCCAATTGCTAGTCATCAGTTTCATTATAAAATTTGTTAGGCTTAAAAGATAGTACCAGACTTCTGAGTTTTGTACAGCACTTGTAAAGAATTTATTGTAAAGAACTGGCGCTGCTTGCACACCTGCATCAGCATTCAAGTCTCAACAAGTTTTGATTTACTGGCCTGAAATAATGATTCAGTAATAGATTCTGATATCATCTTACTGTCGGTATTTAATATGTCATTTTAAAGAATTTGTTTGCAATTTAAAAGATTGCTTGCAAAGGTATAGCTCACTAATATTTATATATCAGTTTTAGAGATTAAAAGCTTTGGAAAGTTACACGTTTTACAATGATCTTAAGGAATTTAAGAATATAATCCTTGTTTCTGCATAAGCATTTTGCAATTTTAACTGAAAGGAAATACTGTGGTTTCTAATTTATGAATTATACAGCCTCCCACAGTTTACTTGATATTAAAACAAACATCTATATGTTTTAGATCTCAGTTCTTGCTTTTCAGTGTGTCAGTCATTTCGTTCAAATTCTTATACTGGATTTGGCCTAAAAATTATTAGAAATATATTTGGAGATCTATAATGTTTAAATGTCTTTGTGTTTTAGGCTATGTTCTTCTGAAATAATGTTGCAAATTATTTTAATCAAAAACTTGGTTAATTCCTACATGTATTGTTTAAACCCTAACCACCCTAACCCTTTTTAAAAATTTCTTCCTATACTTTATAGGCTCCTTTATTGTTTAACTATCTTCACAGTTAAGTCTATGATCCAGGAACCAATTTTTTGTGAAAGTTATTGTATTAATAGAAAGCCACAAAAGAAGAAAAGTTTTAACTTTCTGTTCCAGTTTTACATGCAGAGTGCCAAAAAGAGAATCCCGCTGAAATCATTTTTTTTTTAATCTGAGACAGATGGGAAATATTTCTCTGGATCTGAATAAGAAAATTCTATTTGAGAATGTCTACTTGCTGATAATGACAGTAGCTACTTTTTGATTACTATTTCAAAAAGTAATTGTTGCCACATCAGTATGTTTTGAATAATGTAAATCAGTGTTTCTCAACCTTGACAATTTTAAGGCATGTGGACTTCAACTCCCAGAATTCCACAGCCAGCATTGCTGGCTGTGGAATTCTGGGAGTTGAAGTCCACATGCCTTAAAATTGTCAAGGTTGAGAAACACTGATGTAAATAGAGATATCAATATGAATCGAGTATGAGGTATTATCTTTCCTCCACCTTTTAAAATGGCTTTTTTTGTGTGTGTGTGTGTGTCTTGTTTGGCCTCTCCCCTCCTTTTCAGTTCTTGGTCCATTCAGTCTTAGATTTGTGCACTCAACATCTCTGTATATGCCCCAAATTCCTCCTCTCACCTCCCTCCTCATTTTTTCCCCCCTGTTGTTGGTCATTATACTTCTGGCTTTTAACTGAATTTTCCTCTTAAGAATTTTTCTCGCTTCTAAAGTTGGCAAAAATAAGTATTAAAATGTCTGACTTTTAATGCTAAGATGAAAGGGATCTATTTTACTTAGCTAGAGCTACCAGATCTAAGTTGCAAAAATTTCATACAATGACTAACTAGATTGATACAGAACTCTCTCCCCTGCATTCCTGCTGCCCAATCTAGTCATTTTTTGGATTGTTCCAGCCCAGCAATTGTCTGTCAACCCTAATATACTTTAATTCTACAAGTTACTTGGTCTGTAAATCAGTAACTATCCTCTTTTTCCCAATGATGCCAAAATATTATAGATATTTTGATTACAGATATTGGTTTATAGATCAAGGAGATTATGAAATTGCTTGTTCCTTCCTGTGAGTAAGAAGCAACATACCAATAATGCATCGCTACAAACTACGCTGTGGTTCATGAATATTAAAACTTTTAGATGAAATAGGAATTTTGTGTTTGTGGTTTCCTATGTTTTGATCAATTAAGGAATCAAAGGTTGCAATCCTTGAACATTCAAATAAGAAAGATTCACTTATTTGAAACGTAAGTTAGAAGAACAGGGCCGCATCACAAGCTTCTGTTTCTGATACTATTATTTGAACAAGACAAAAATCAGGTTCATAAAATAAAGTTTTTAAATTTCTTCAATTCTAGCCTGTTTGAAAATTGATAGTATTAAATAAGTTATATGTATATTTGGTAACTAAATAAGTTTGTTTCATAATATATGTATTTAAAAAACAGTACAATCCAAATTTTCTTACCATTCTTGAAGCAAAAATTCAGTACTTTTATTGCATTTCTGTGCACATAACTAGATGTAAGCCATACTGAACTTCGTGGAACACATCTGGATCCTCATACATAGGATGCTGTGTTTTGTACTGCTTATTTCAATAGGTTGTCCTAGTACTAATGTACTTGTTTTATTAAGTTGCGGGGGGGGGCATTTAGATGTAAACATTGGCATATAATGTCATATTGAATATTAGCAGCGTTGACATATAAATTAAATAATTAAAAAAGAAGATATGCTTCGAGGCTTTAAACCTTTGCAGGAAATAGGGCAATTTAAAAAATAGTGAACAAAATCTGTGTCTTGAAATCAGATCCCAAGTGTATTAGTGGACAATTAGATTTTCCATGTGCGACAGGGATGGATGTTTCCTCTTGTAGAAAGCCTCTTGATGGATTCATTTATAGCATTTGTAAGCATTACAATGGGTTGGTATCCCACTTAACATTAATTTGGGTTTGAATTATATTTAAAGATCTGGTACTTTGCAACACTGTGTTTATTTTATGTTGTAGACAAAGCTGAGGAAAGGTGGAAATCTGGAGGTCTCAAACGTGCTTTCCCAGCTACATCCTAGCTCTGCCCTTCTGTCTTTTGGACAGTGCTTTGGTAACTCATGCTGCCGCCATGTGGCTACCTGGGAACACCTTAACACCAAAGTGTTATCTTCTTAATCCTATTTATGAGATAGAGAGGCTTCCCACAGTCTGTGCTGAGTTATTGGCAACTAAAAGGGTTTGGGGAAAAAAAATCTATACTGTAAGCCCTGGATGTATGGTACAGCGACTTGAGGTTTCATCAACAACTTTGCCCCAAAAAGAACCAATTTTACCAGAGATGAGTGAGACATTTTTTTTTAAAAAAAGAAAAGTTAAAAATGTAACAACTTTAGATTTCAAAATTACACACAATTCAGAGATGCCTCAATTATACACAGTTCAGACATGCCTTCCAAATTATTAAAAAGAGAACTGTAAAATAAGATGCACGCCAGAACACAACGGCACTGGTTAACAACAAATATTGCTGTTGCTATAATTGCTAACAAATGGATTTTAGAGGCAAAACATTACATTTATGGCCAGTCTGAATTATAAATGAATGAAAGTTGACACTGAACACTCAACTTCCTATAGTTGTCCAACAAAACAAAGATATTTAGGAACCCATTAAACAAATCAAAGAATTGTAATTTGCATACTTCTCCAAAAACAAGGGCCTCTTGAAATTGCTGTTCCTCTTGCTTCATTTTATCTGGGAAATTGTTTTCTCTCTGGAAACCCCACTTTCTTCACAGGCTGCAAACTTCTTCTAGCTCACTCCTGTTCCTATTCCTCTACATGCCTTTCTTCTCCTCTGTTCCCTTTTGAAGTTATTTTCTTTTGAAAGTTTATATCTCTAGTTGAGGGAGGGATTGTGAGTTCTCTTCAAATTTTCCTCACAGAAGGAAGATACTGATTATACATTTATACATTTGTCAAGCATGTAAATTGAAAATATTTTTTCTTGCTAATTTTTCTGTAAAATCAGAAGTCCCTATAAAATTTTGTTAATATTTCTCAACTTTTTGATAATAGAGTAGGCATTGAAATCTTTAGAGGCACTAGGTTATTAGGTTCATGATCTATTTTTCTGGACATTTTAATAATTTCCTTTCTAAGAAAATACTATGACTTCTTACGAAGAAACCAAGAAACTGTAATCAAGAAGGCACGCAGATTGATTGACCCTAAAGATAAGACCATGCTAATTGAATTCTTCAGGTGAAACCAAGACTTGGCTCCTCTAATGTATGAATTTGCATAAATACATTGTGGATTTACATAACAGATTTTATTCAAATTAGAGGGATTTCACCTGTTATTTTAGTATACCAAATCTTCCTTGTAGCTTTGAATACTCACTGCAGAGATTTAGTATTAGAGGTTTCTATACCATATATTGCAATTTTCTCCAAATTATGGAAAGCAGCTAGATAGGTATACAATGTATCTGAAGTATTTGTGGAATTATTAATCAAGGAAAGACATTAGGATGTAAGGAAGAACATTGTATTAACATATATTAGCTCCTATAATAGTATTTATATGGGTCCCAGTTGAGCTACAGTCTAAGCTAGCATAATATAAGAGATAACACAGTCTGTATTATACTCACTTCCAAGCAAATATATTTATTATAAACAAATTCATAGTGCACCTATCCAATTCATTGGATTATACATACAAGTTAACATAAATTGTTCTATTAGAATTAGCAAGTATTGACTCAAATGTTTGTCTGTTTATATCGAAAGTGAAGTCTTTTTAAACAAAAAGAGTTGCCTTGAAATGAGAAAAATCTGGCATCTGCATGTTCTTCTATTTTTTCCCCGAATTTAGCTCCACGATCATTAAAGAACAGCACAATGCAGTGAGTTAGTTAGTTGCTCACCCTGACACATTCCTTTTCATGCTTCTATATGCAAATGGACCAGACCTCTGGCTTGTCACATCACAATTAAGTGAAAGCCCTTTCAGTCACCGTGATGGTATCAATTTATGAAAAAAAAAAGCAATGAGATATTTTGGACTTGTTACAGGTTTATTCCTGAATCTCCTCGGTGGCTGATCTCTCAAGGAAGATTCAGAGAAGCTGAAGCTATTATTCGGAAGGCAGCACAAACAAACAGGATTCGAGCTCCATCAATAATTTTAGATCCAGTGGAGGTAAGTATTAGGAGTTATAGTTGTATATTTAACAGTAGTGGTGTAGTGGTTAAGGTACCTAGCTAGAAACCAGGACACCACCTTCTAGTCCCACCTTAAGCATAAAGCCTTAGCCTAGTCACTCTCTCTCCACCCTGGGAAGCAGGCAAGGAGAAGCCATTTGTCCTGGCAGTCACCAGTCAACAATGACTTGGAGCCACAGAAACAAAAAAATGTATATTTATATTTTTATAGTACTTGCTGTAACCTCTATTACAGGGATTTTCAAACTTGGCCCTTTTATGACTTGTGGACTTCAACTCCCATAATTCCTCAGCCAGCATGCCTGACTGAGGAATTCTGGGAGTTGAAGTCCACAAGTCATAAAAGGACCAAGTTTGAAGACCCCTGCACTATTATAATAATGACTGAGCTGGGTGACTTTGGACCAGTTACTCTCTCGCAGCCCAGCCTACCTCACAGGATTAGAAAACAGAAGGACATATTAAGTATGATCACAGCTTTGAGTTACTTATAAAGTAATAAAAATGGGATAAAAATCTAATCAGATTGATAGATAGACAGAACACAGACAAATAGATAGCAGGTCTCACTAGCACCATTGGTCATATTTTAAAAAAAACATAACTCTAAGGTAAAGCAGGTGATAGTTTGCATGCACCAGTACTTACATCTGAGTTAATGATTCGTATACGGCAAGGTCTTCAAAAGCAATAACAATTTTTCAAGGTGAACTTCACTATAAACCCAGTTATATGTGCAATAAAACACCACTGCATGTCCTGAAAGAGAACAAGAACAGGCAATATGCCATGAATGTCTGCCTAAAAATTAAGAAAAAAAATGTATAAATCTACCTCAGTAACACAGCAAGATCATCAACAAACCTTCCTGATTCTAAATACAATGTTGGCACTCATCTTTCTGCATAGGATCTGCTTTTATCCCCCACAGCAGGCATTTTAATATATTTCAGCAGTGGCTTAGAGCTTGTTCGACTTCTGTTATTCTACTTGTCAGCTGTAGTTCTATTCTTGACCAAAGGTTGTGGTTTAATCACCTGAGCAGGATTTATCATTCAGTCATAAATTGCTATAGATTGTGTTTCTGGCTTGGACAAAACATGCTGCCCATTTTTCTTAAAGCTTCAGGATGGCTTTATACAGTCTTCTTGTTTGCCAAGGGGAAAAAAAATCACATCCCTCCCTTTGTGAGCTGCAGACAAATAATGAATTGTGCATATCTGAATTTGATCGGGCCACCAGCATAGTTGTGAAATGGACGTTGGACAAGTTGCATTTTCCCTCTTTCCGAAACACTTCAATAGAAAAGTTCAAGAAAGTGTGCAGTCCATCTAGTGTAGCTCATTGTCATGTTAGTCTTGAGAATAAAGGCTAATGATAGATAGATAGATAGATAGATAGATAGATAGATAGATAGATAGATAGATAGATAGATAGATAGATAGATAGATGGCTTTTTTTGTCATAGAATGCCCAGAATGGAGTTCCAGCACCTTTTTTGGATGGAACCTTGTAGGGTAGGTAAGGCGGGTTGTATGACGTGTGAGTTCCGGCACCTTTTTTTTTTTTTTTTTAGAAAAAAAGCACTGGATATATAGAGAGATATAGATATAGATAGCTAGTTTATTCCATTGTAGCATTAAACAAAAGTCTCTGGCCGCATGGTGTGTCTCAGTTTATTTAAAAAAAAAAACAACTTGGGTAATGAGTTTTGGAGTCAAATGGAACAAAGGTTGAGCAACCACCTCCAATATAATTATTTACCAGCTAATGTATGAAGTTGTTGTTTTCTCTCCCGATTATATATTTTTGGTTGTAGGTGGCAATAAAGCAGAAAATGGTGCTAAGAGAAAGTAAAGATAGGCAATGCATCGGTTGGCTGTTGTGTGTGTGTTTTTGTGATTCAGTTTACAAGGGATTTTAACTCCATTTAACTCTGATATCCCTCCTTTCCCAACCCAACCTAATCAAGACAGTTAAAATAAAGATTATAAAGGGAGACAGAAATGAACTTCTGTGGAAGGCCACAGACTCAGTTTTTATAGTTGCAGAAAACTCTTTGACTTTATACCCCTAATTTTACCAGGGGCATGCAAAAAACAAAGAGTTGTTTTTTAAATTATAACTTAGGGATACACTTTTCACTGGCACTCCTGAACCAAATTCCAGAATGGAAAATCCCAGGAGAATGTCTAATTCTGAATTAAAAATGAAATCAAATAGCTGTACAGCATTGCTATGGTCTCTACTTGTTGATTGCTCTGGTTTCATAGACAATCCTACCTGTCTCTCTAAGAAGCTAATGACTTGCAGTTGCAGTCATTAATGAAGAAAAGAAGCTAATTTGTCAGTTATTTTCTTTTTAATTTGTTATGGGCTTATTACTTAAGGGCAAAGGTTTTCCCTGGACAGTTTTACACACATATTTCTGACATAGAAAGCTACAGTAATCCTCGCCTTATGACTGCAATTGGGACTGGAACTTCTATTAAATGTGAAGTGGTCATTAAATGAGCTGTGCCCAATTTTTTGACTTTTGTTGTTAAGTGAATCATCATGATCATTAAGTGAATCACACGGCTGTTACATGAATTCAGCTTTCCCCATGGACTTTGCTTGTTGGAAGCCAACTGGGAAGATTGCTGATGGTGATCATCCTACCCCTAAATACATGCTGGTTGCCAAACACTCAAATTTGGATCACATGACCATGGAGATCCTACAACAGTCATAAGTGTGAGGACCAGTCGTAAGTGCAAGAACCAAACCTTTTTCAGCACCATAATTTTGAATGGTCGCAAAGGAAGCTATCCATGAAACTGGGAACCACATCAACTTGTTGAGTATTTTATTTCATAACTGGCTGATTTTTATTATGGAGCTCTTGTTGCTTCAGTATGTGTCATGTGTTCATCAGTAAACATAATTCATTAGGTCTCTTTTCCCAACAATCCTTGTTAATTGATTCTTACTAATTTAGGCTAATTCTCAAACATAGACTGGTTTTTTGTAAGATAAAGAATTTTGGAAAAAAAAATCAATTTTGAACTGGCCTCCAAAACAGATTAAAATCTGTGCAGAATGAGAGTGAAAATACATAAAATTGTCAAAATGAAAGCAATCAATAAATCTCCATCTTCTTTAAATCAACGGCTTGAATTTTTTTCCTTTTCTTTGCCTTGTATGATATCCAGGACATTTATGTTTATTTACTTGCTTGGTTTTGGAATGTTCCCTTTTTTCCTTTCTTTTCCTCCTAAGGTAGAAGATTTGAAAGCCAAGCAACATCAGGGTGTGTTTTTGGACTTGTTCAGATCACGAAACATTGCAATTATGACTTTTATGTCTCTTCTTTTATGGTAAGGTTCCAACAGCAGGCTCATTAAGTGCAGAGACCCGATGATCTGTTTTTTGTTCGGGGAAAGTTAGGCTGTTTGGGACATTCCAATCCTTATTACCAAATGAGATTTTATTTTATATTTTTAATTGATCAATTTACATCGCTACCCTGCTTGGCATATTCAGCTGTCCTTAACATGTGAATTGCCATTAAAATGTGATGTAGATCAGAACATTGTGAATGTTTTTCTAAATAATTTTCTATGCCTAAAGGACCTTTTATTAGATTGCTTGCTGATGCATGTAAGTATGGAGGGATTTGAGAGTTGTGAGCAATGGAGTTCATGCAAACAGACGCATTTCAGTAACAAAACTGCATCAGAACACTTTTGCCTACTTCTTTACCTTAACATTTTAACCAGACAAAGCTAAATACTAATCAACGGGATTAGATATTACACCAGACTAAACAATACCACACTATTATTGTTTCCAGCCCCACAGATCCAATAGAAAAATAATAATAAAAAACAACTTAACTAAACAAAAGTCAAGAAAAAAGAAACCAATTTACATTTAAGCACCAGATAGGTCAAATTGTTTGCACGGTTTTCTTTTTAATAATAATATATTATTGAAAATACTGAACTTTATCAGCAAAGGTAAATTACAAGAAATAAAGCCTGCTTATTTAAATATCCATTTGGACATTAGAATTAAAAGCTAGTATTAATGCAAGCCCTTTTTGCACCAGATAATAATGAACACTGTCACTATACTATAGTGTTATCAAGAGATTCAGATACAAGCTACTGCATAGGCACAATTTATTGTATAAGACTTTCCACAACCATATACATTTTCTGAACAGAAGGAACCAATATTTAAGTCTCAGTTCAGTTAAATCTTTAGCATCTCATATACTGAATTGGATAATTAAGAGTCCTGAGGAGCTTCTTGTCTTCCCATATGAGCAATCAGCATTTAAAATTAGGTAGTTTCATTGGATGGCTTGCCTCTAACACAGTGGTTCTCAACCTTTCTAATGCCGCGACCCCATAATACAGTTCCCCATGTTGTGGTGACCCCCAACCACTTATACATCACCAGGTGCCAGGGACGTGGCCAAAGAAAAGGGGAAAAAATGGTGGACAGCCTTGTTTGGCGACCCCCGTGAAATGGTCATTCGACCCCAAATGGGGTCCCGACCCACAGGTTGAGAACCACTGCTCTAACAGGTACATGCTATATAACAGCACTAAAGATACTTTAGGGTGAACAGTCAGCTTTTCCTTGTTGTCATTAGAAGGACTAGGTTTCACTCAGGGATATTATGAATTTGATTAAGATACTTATTTACACAAATTATTGAAAAACAGGAAAGCAGCATCAAAACATAGATGTCCAAAGGGTTGTATGTATAATTTCCCAATGCATTTTACTCCATTCCAATTCAAAAAAAGTGCCATCTGAAATAGTAAAATAGGAAATAAGTCTATTCTACTGTTGGGCTAATTGTGCCAGATTGTGGCTATTTATATTTGCTAATTTCTCTCTTTATCTCAGGATGCTTACATCTATTGGCTATTTCGGTCTGTCACTCAGCACCCCTAATCTGCACGGAGATGCCTACTTCAATTGTTTTCTGTCAGCAGTCATTGAGGTCCCAGCCTATGTGATTGCTTGGCTCCTCCTGCGGATCTTGCCTCGGCGATATACAATATCTGGCACCCTCTTCTTGGGAGGAGGAGTTATTTTGTTCATACAGTTAGTACCTTCAGGTAAGATTCATTTCATTTCACTTCATTTGTGCTGTAGTAATTGACAATAGTGTATGAGGAGATGGAACATGTGTTAAAGAATGGTTTTTTACACCTATATAGTCTATTCCAGGAAGATTCATTAAGATTACGAATAGATAGAAATCTGCATTCACTGAACATTATAGGGATGTTTATCAGTTTATTTTTGTGACCTCTGTAACACAGATCCACAAAATATACCCGTGCAAAAAAAAAAAAAAAATTAAAAAATTCAGGAAATGCCCAAATGGTAGAGAGAATTTGGTGGAAAGCCAAACAGTTGCTCAGCTTTGGGGTATGTGATCTCTTACTGGCCTTCATTGAATTTAAGGCTGGGCAAAAGAATAAATATATAATTGACTTTTAATAATTACATTTGAATCTTTAAATGCAAAGTTCTTAAATGCTGCAATTCTGCAGCTGCCCACTAAAGGCCAGTACAATCCAGTTCTGGTAGCAGTAACAGTCTAACAACTTTCCCACTTTCTCTGTGCAAGATCCCTTTAATTACTCATAACTCCTTAAGTGACTTCAACTCACAATTTGAGATGCCTCGGTAATATTCTTGCAGTACCTCCAGTTATGCTGCAACTGCCATACAAGCAGTCTTCTACTTACAATCATTTGTTTAATAACTGTCCAAAGTTACGATGGCACTGTAAAAATTGACTTACCTATGTGAGTTTGTGAGTTTTTAATTTTTTAATAATTGCATTTTTCTAAGAGCATCAAGTGTGGAAGTGATTTGCTTCTCACCATGTTTACAGAAAGGAAATCACCATGAGGTCTTTCATCCTTCAAATTCTCACTCCCTTCCCAAATTCCAGAGTTACTGCAACACTCTCCTAGACTCACTTTTGTTCAGAATGCCAGGTTCTCAACAATTCACGCTGCCACCAGGGTGCCAGATTTTTCTGATCCTTCTGTAAGTCTTGCTTCATGATCAACTCCAACAGTATTTTCAGATCCAGTGTTGATTTTTTTTTTTTTTTTTTTTTTTTTGCATTGCCATAGCCTGAGATCCCAATGGCCATGACCTTCTTGGTCTTCTGAAAGGATGTGAAAACCTTGCTTTTCTTCCAGGTGTTTGGCCAGGATAATAGATAAACCCAATATAGGTATGACTGTGCAACTCAGTTTATTCTACGGTGCCTTTGTTAATGTTTTGTAATTATTTTAGCTTGTTTGCTATTGTTAACTAGAGCTTTTTATGCTAAAGCAACTATATATATTTTCTAAGTAAATAAAAATATTTTTTTACAGCATCATTGTAGATACCTCCTTTCATGTGGCCTCAGTCTTGACAGTATCTCTTCTCCTTCATATCTATTTGACTACACTTTGGATTGGAAAGATTCTTCCTTTGCATGCTTTCCTTTCATTTTTAGGCCCAACAAGCCTTCAGAGAAGAAGCAACACTAAAGAAACAAATCCAATTGTTCAATATTATGGTCATAGACCAGCATAATATTGAACAGTTTATTGCATGGATTCTACTTCAGGTTTTATGGTGCATGAAATCCCTTTACTTTTGAAGACTGGTCTTTGAATCTGTGATAGATTTAACAGATTCTGTTAAATCTATCACCAATTCTGGTGTCCTGGATTATTAAATGTACTGTAGATGTGTAGCAAAAAATAACTAGAAAGACTACTTGTGAGTTATATGCTCCTAGACCATCATGCCTGCAGTTTCACATGGCTACAGTTGTGCTTCATCTGGGTAGCATCTTTATTTAAGCAGTATTGTTTGGATAGCTATTATATGACCAAATGCCTGCATTAATTAGGTAATTTTTACCAGTAGTGATTTTTTTCTCTTAGTTTTTGATAGCTTGCTAATACCTTTTTTGTGATATACAGCCAGGAAGATGTAAGACAGCCACTGTCTACCCAGTGCAGGATGAAGGCCTCTTCCGCATGTTTCCAACCAATACAGTCCTGAGCTTTCTTTTGCCAATTGGGCCCACAATACTTGCTGATATTGTCAATCCATCTTGTTTTAGGCCTCTCTCGTGGGCACTTTTTATCAAGTGGTAATCCATTCTATGACTGCCTTGGTCCACCTGCCATTTGTTTATTTGTGATTGATCAAGTGATCTTTCACTCTTCCACAGTCATTTTTGCATGCATACCCACTTCTGTTCTGGAGATGTTTCTATTAGTGTCACAATTCTCAAAGATTTTGAATCGATTTCTAAGTATTCATGGGATGATGCAAAGTAGGCCTTAAAAGCATGCCTCAGGAGGTTTCTCAGTAGTATGGCAGGTGGACCTAGGCAGTTATAGAAGAGATCTAGATCACTTGATAAAAAGCGTCCACAAAAGAGACTTAAAACAAGGTGGATCAACAACATCAGCAAGTATTGAGGACCCAATTGGCAAAAGAAAGCTCAAGATCATATTGGTTGTAGACATATGGAAGGTCACCAGGCCTTAAGGTAAAAGTAGGACTTGTTCAAAGTTGATTAATAAAAGAAGCACTGAAGTTTTGTTTCTTCCTTAACTTCTTTTCACAGATCTCCACATTCTGTCTCTCATCTTAGTGATGCTGGGGAAATTTGGGGTCACATCAGCCTTCTCCATGCTTTATGTCTACACTGCAGAACTCTACCCAACGACAGTAAGAAACATGGCAGTGGGTTCTGCTTCCATGTCATCCCGGGTGGGCAGCATTATTGCACCATACTTTGTTTTCCTGGGTAAGAAATTTATCATTTTAAACGTGCTCAAAATAAAATGCTCCCTACTTTAGCTTTGAGTTGATGGAGAAATACTCAGTAACCTTTCTGTGATCTCATTAATCTTGTGTTTATTTGTAGGCTTAACTCACATTGCCTTTCAAAAGACCTAGATATTCAGGGCAAGCCATCATTATTCTTCTGAAAGCACTTGATTCCTAGTTCTTTTCCAGTGGTGGACTATAATTCAAGACCAGTAATTATTAGTAGAAAACTATTTGGGGACAGTGGTTAAAGGTACCAGGCTCAGAGGTGACCTTAGGCTAGTAACTCTTTTAACCCTAGGAAGCAGGCAGTGGCAAACCATTTCTAAAATATTGCCAAGGAATCAACACTGATTTAAATGCACAACAACAAAAAATACTTCCTAGGATTACCAAAAAAATGTTTTGTTGCATAGTATGCAGTACTGAAACAAGGATTTCAAAGATATAGACATTAATTGACAATCATTCATAAAACGTACCTAATAAATCACACTCTAAATCTCCAATTTCCTTAAATCATACTTTTTATCTAATATACCAAGGTAATGTGCAGTAAAAACATCAATTAAAACATAAAATGTGATTCAGAGAAACAAAACCTGCACAAAAAAATCACATAACAAAAATAGCACAAAACAGTATACATTGGATAGTGCAAAATAACGTATCTTTAAAGTAAAGATCACGAAAGATTGCTGTTGAGTTTAAAAGAAATACATCCAGATAAAATACAGGAGGAAAGGACAGGAATCAAATAGATAAAGTGATTATGAATTAATATTGAAACATTATGTAATAAACCTACTTTTTATGTTTTACCAGGGGCCTATGGTAAATTTCTGCCTTACATCATCATGGGCAGCCTGACGTTATTAATAGGGATTCTCACCCTCTTATTGCCAGAAAGTTATGGAAAACCTCTGCCAGAGACATTTGATGACATGCAACAAATTAATGGGTAACTTGATTTTACTGAAATAGAATTCCTCACTGTATTTTATATTAAGTCTGGTGAACTTCAAACTAAAAGGCAGAAAAAATTTCATTCTTCTGTATCAAGGCCTATAGAAACCAGAAGTTGAATGAAAACAAAAAAGGCAATTTTTTAAATAATATATTGTATTAATTTTTTAACAAGCATACGTCACTCAATAATTGGTAAATAGTGTGTTGTCTGGGTTAATTTTTTAAAGAATTATCTTTTATCAGTTTCTTATGAATCTACACTTTGGAAAAATGCAGGGTGTTTTATTTATTTATTTTTTTAATTATTCTGAAATAAATGAAAATCTTTACTTCCATCTATCTTCCATTACTGGATTTTTGAAGAAATTACCAATACATTATCCTCAAACTTAATTGCCATAATAAAGAAATAGAAGAAAGCAACTGGATGTCAAAACAGATGATGAACAATGCTGAGAAGAAAAGCTAAAAGCGAAGAAAGAAAAATATCTCAGAAGAATTTAACAAAGAATTTCAAAGAACTTGCAGAAGAGATAAGCAATGCATCTGTAAAGGCACTGAGTATGGGAAAAACAACAGTAAGTCATTGAAAAGATCTAAAGTTTCCAACCTCGAATTGGTATGCTAAAAAATGCCATTGGAAAGATAGTAACTGATTCAGAGGGATCAAGCAAAAATGGAAGATTAAAATTCTCAATGTTAATCTAATGTCCAAGATACTTTAAAAATAATTCTCCATTTATAAGAAATGCTTGTACTAAAAGATAATTAGATCACTATTCTAACCATTATGAAATCAAAAGATTATAGGAATTGATGGAATATCTATATAAATATTGTAAACAACAAAAGAAGAATCAATAAACATTCTAATTAAACTATGCCACACAATCTGGAAATTGACATACTGGTTCAACAAATGAGAAGAGGTCATTTTACCAATAACAAGGAAAGAAAGCTTAATAGAGTTAACAAACTATTGCAAAAATGTGCTTGATCAAAACAGTACTAAGGATTGTGCAATTATAGCCCAACTTAGAAAGAGTTCAAGCTGCTTTTAGAGACATTATTATTGCTCATGCAACTGGCTAATTAAAAATGCCAAAGAATACCAAAAAGAAGTCAATAAGTGTTTCATTGATTATAGAAAGGCTTTTGATCATATCAACTACATCAAGCTATGGACAGTTCTTAGGAAAACGGGAATCCCAGAACATTTAGAATCACTGAAGTTGTAAGGTGGGCAGCCAAATGAATCTATTGAAAAAATAAATTCATTGTCCTCATGAAAAACCTACACACAGGAAAGGAAACCAGGCTGTATGGAACATGGTGAGACAGGAGTGAATATACTCTTTCCTTATTTATTCAAACTTACGTGGAATCCGTAAGATTATCTGGGACACTACACATCCTCTTCACAACCTGTTTTCCTTGTTACCTTCTGGAAGGAGGCATCTTGGTATTCGTAGCAGAACATCCAGATTCAGCCATAGTTTCATTCCATACAGCATTAAACTTGTGAACTCTCAAGCTTCCTCCTTCTGTTATATATTCAAGATGGACAGTATTTAATATTTATTTGTTATGTATATAGGGGTGTGGGTCTACATATATGTTGTACATAGTATGTTTAGATGTGTGTCATGTTTGTGTTTCACTTTGAGAGCGGGCAACTAAATTTCATTTTTGATGTGTGCCGTTGTGCCCACAGTAAAAAAAAAATGACAATAAAGGTTATCTTATCTTATCTTATATATTGAGAGCTGCATGGAAGAAAATTAATGTGATTTTAAAACTGGAGGAAGATATATCAACCTGTGCTGCTGACATGACTCTGATAAATGAAAATCAAATGACTGTAAGCTGTAATAATGAAAATAAAGATGCATAATGAAAAAAATGGGACTATGATTAAATATAAAGTGGATCAAACTAGTGACAACAGATACCATAGAATAGGACTGACAATCCATTGAAGTGATGGACACCTTCTTCTTTTAAGATCAACTAGCAACAGCAAGGGAACCAACAGTCAAAAAATACAACACAGGCCAACATTTGATAGGAAAAGAAAAGTATCTTGGAGAAGATATTCAGATGCCATGATATATATGTGTAGGCAATGTTTTTTTTTTCTTGTGATGCCATATGGAAGCAGAAGTTTTGCTCTGAAGAAGCAGTACATAACATTGAATTTTGAATTTTTGAGTTTGGGAAGATTCCTGAGGATACCATGGATAACCAAGAAAACAAAAAAAAATGTTAGCATAGAGGTAGACTTTGACTTAATGGCCATTCATTCAGTGGCCACTTGAAATTATGATAGTGTTGAATGAAAGGATTTATGACCTATGCCTGAACTTATGGCTGTTGCAAGGCACCCATGGTCACACGATCAGAAGTCAGGCACTTGGCTGCCTGCCTGACTATATGACCACGGGGTGCTTCAACTTCCCTATTCCCTCCCCCCAATTTATGACCTTTTGGTTGCCCTGCAAAGAAGCATTCATTGGCAGCAACACTGGGGCTGGGCCTGAAGTAGAGGCTTGAGGCTTTCAGCAGTGTCAAGACAGCTGCCACCACCCCCAGGCCTGATATTTTCATGGTATTTGGAGAAGAAATTGCAGAATGAGGCTTCCATTTTAGCACCCCATTCTTGCAAGGTCAGGTTCTCCAAAGTATGTCTTTCATTCAGTTTTGTGGAAATAATTTCCTACTACCTGCCTTTGGAACTGATTTAATTAATCAGAGCCACTCCTTCCTTAATAGTTCACATTTATACCAAAGGATATTTTGATAAGACAGTATTAAAAAGAAGCTTAAAAAGAAAACTAATTGTTTGCTGCTGTCATTTCTAATGTACATAATTTCCTATTTGTTTTTAGGTTAAGCAAAAGAAAACATCTCTACAGGGTAGAGAATTCAGAGCAAAGTGAACTGACCATCAAGAATATGACATCATTTTGATCATATCAGTTGAATGGAAGAGTTTGTGGTTAACAATATTTCTAAAGATATATGAAAGTCGATAACACTATTAGACAGACTTTTCTAACGATCCTGCGGTTCTCAAAACACTGATGTACCAAATATGTGGAATTGTGTTAAATTGCTGTGTTGGCACAAGTTACTTTTATCAGTAACTATTTCTCTTCCTTGGTTTGGGATTTGTATTTTTGTAAGGTCTTGAGTATTTTCATCTCTTCTTGAGGTGTAGGTATTATTTTATTGTTGTATATGTGTATTTATCCTTTTTATAACATTTCTTGAACTCCAAACATCATTTATAAGTATTCTCGATTAATTATTCTCGATCTATAAGTAGTCTCGATTAAGATCTACAGTATAATATTACACTTTAGAAAATAAATGGCAGAATTTTTTGTGGGTAGGGCTATATCTTCTAAGGCTCACTTGAAAAATCTTTAAAGTAAAAATTGACTATAATAAATTGTGATTTTAAACTTTAAAAGATATTTTTAAAAGTGAAGCACGTGTTTTGAAATTTGTTTTCTTATTAGAAATAAATTATAACTGTTTTTTTTCTGTCAACCAGAAAATAGCTCCGGAAATCCAAAATCTAAAGTTAATCGTCATTGGCTTCTACCTTTTAGGAAATTTGCCTGTCAAAGAGGGAACAATGCACACAATACATAGACATGGTTTCTACACACTTCGCATTCTAGTTATTTATATGATTAATTAATTCACTGGGCCCAAATACAGCTCTTTATTTATTTTCTTCAATGAGAAATATAAATCAGGTATTATGTTGGATGTAAGTCAGCCTACCAGAAGAAACTATTTTATGAAACTGGATTTTTAAAGCATTTTAGGTGATAAAGTAAATATTAAAGATGATGGCGTGCATGAGCTTGTCAAATCCTTTGCTGAGAAAGTCATAAGATAAAATAGTGATTAAGGTCAAGTATTCAGACAATTGGATCTTTATGTATAGATCACAATTTGTTGCCCATTTAACACTGAAATTCTTTGTCTTTTGTCAACAAAATCATGCCTATATCTATTTCTTATTTGAAAGGCTTAAAATGGTATTTTTTGAAAACGTAAATTTCTGTAATTCAGATTTTGCCTGCATCATAGGAGGAAACTGGCTTTCTAAGTACCATTCCTAGTAATATATTAATCAGACTTAATTCATTAAAAAGTATGCAACCCACTTATCTTAAATGTCAGGATCATAACTAGTAAATCTGCACAATATGCTGTGTTTTTATACCATTAATCTGAACACAGCATGCTTTGTTATAATACTATTAGTCCAGAGCAATTTGTTTTATGACCTTAGACCAGGGGTGTCAAACTGCTGGCCTGTGGGCCGGTTTCATCATACTGGAGCCCCGCCCACCCCATTGCCGGCAGTGGCAAAAAAGCTCTGATACGTTGCATGTCACGTGACGTCGCAAGTTTGACATGTCTGCCTTAGATCAATCTTTTCCAATGTGATGATCCCAAGATAATGCTGACTATTGATGAGAATGATGGAGTTTATATTCCAACACATCTGATGGACAAGATTATCTTGGACATTTTCTATGATGGTTCTGTGAAGGCTGCTTTAAATTTTACTTAGGATGGAGTAAAAGTTTTAAATATGGCAAAGAAAGTCTTTATAAAAGCAGCTTTTTCTAACCACTCCTTTGAAAACTAGAGATGGAGCATCTGTATCTACCTTGAAAAAGAATGACAAAAGACCAAAGCAGCATTTAAATCGATCCCTGACCTTCAGGTGACAAATTCAGGACTAGTAGCTCCTGTTCCTTGTAGAACACTCTGCTTTATGAATCCTTGCAATAAAACTAACAATGTATGTTAATTTTTTTATGGTTCTGGTGCAACACATTTCCATAGTCTTAACATGACTCTTCTAATAATCAAGTTACTTGTAAGATTGCCAGTTTCCGAATCACAAACTATAGCTGTAGATCCACAGTGTTTTCTCAGGTTTTTTACCTATGGCAAACAGGCAGGATTCTGAAACACCCCTTAGAAGAAAAAATCTCACGCTAATGACTTTCTCAACAAAAATCTATCAGACAAATTTGTTTAATAATGTATTGTAATCTGGCAATATGTAATATATTGTGTATAAATATTTTAAACAAAATAATGGATTCCTATACAGTTTTACCTTGTTGTAATTGTAACTGTTTCTAAAACAATATTTGTGGTACTTTTTTGGAAAATCTAGTTTTGTTAGAGTTTTTTCATAGTTTTAAGAGTCTCTTGATTTTTAGTTCAACACTGTCCAGTTTAGAAAGCTGCACTTTCTAGAAGATTGTGACTTTGCAATTTTGTTTTTAATTTTTGGAGGGATCACTTCTCTAAAGACTATTACAGTATTACCTGACCTAGTGCAAGTTGTAAAGACATTTTAGCCTCCTGTTATATCCTTAGCTTCTTATAATATAGCTGCTTTCATCTAATGAGGTCCAATTTAGTAGTTGAAGAAAGTCTGATGAAAAAAGCAACAATTGTATTTCTTTTTACCTTTCATTACTAGGTAGCTGAAGATTTATAATATCCAAGCATGGATTATTGACATATTAAGTTCTATAGTGTTTATCCTATAATTACTTCATCAAAATATGTTTCAGTAAAATGTATTCTTTGCCAATATAGAGTTTTCTCAGGGATTTTTCAGATAATGATTGCAATCTTCCAAAGACAGGAAATGGTAGGAGGACCATTTGGAATGGAAGAAGACGAGTCATTTGTCACATTTTATTCCTCGCTTCATTTTTTTCTGTAAAACAATTGTGGTGCTAGCCGAAGTTTTAATTATGTCTCCTGGTAGGCAGCATGCACAATTTTGTTTCATTCAATGAAACACATTCAACGGTCATGCAAGTAGGAAATCAATGCTTCAATACAGTTCCATTTTTGCTACTGCCTTGCAGGACATTAAAAAAGAAGGAATCTGGTTGCTATTAGGTTGCAATAAAAGGCTACAAGTTATAAATCAGGCTGAACAAATTCCATTTAGCTGTTAATTTTGTAAAGTGCCTTGTAGTCATGTTTGGTGTTCTTTATTTAAAGACTGAAGTTTCTCAGCTTACCAAAGTGTGAGTTATTTGTCTCATATATCTCATCTAACAGCTCTATTAGATGTGTTTTGGATTGCACTTATACTGTATCTGGTAATGTACTGAATATTAATTGGAATCAGGTTCTCCAGTTGAAGGAACTGATTTGGTGATTAAAAGAGGAAAGAAAACGCAATGGATTTTCCTACTAGGCGATCCTCAGAGTAGATCAAGACAAAGGTGTAAAGTAGACAGGAACTCCTATCTTACAAATTTATGTTCTATGTTGGACTCTTCGCTGTTCATTTGGATTATGCCAATTATGAAATCTCATGTGTCACCATGTAACTGTATCTCTTTATTTTCTTCATTGAGAGCAAGCATAAACAAAACCTTCAAAACCTATGCTGAGTTGTTTTCTGTGCCTCAAATGTAAAAAAGGGAAATTCCATGTGTATAATAATACATTTCCTTCACATATTGATGACACTGTCCTAACAAATCAATATGAAACATGAATATTGGGGAACCAATAAAGCTTGAGAGAGAATTGATGCTGATTTAGTATTGAATAACACAGATACATCAATAAATATAAAAGAATCACTTTAGGTCAGGACTATTGCGACGGCATTACAATCAATACTCCATTATAATTTCATATTTGGGGTAGGGTATCTTACATAAGTAATAATGTAACAAAATAAAGCAGCCGTGATATCCCAAAGCAGACAAAATACTTTGAATAATTATCAGAACTGCTAAATATTTTTGCTTCGCATCAATACTTCAAGATCAAAAGAATGCATGCATGTACATTAGTTAATCTGATAGTTATTATCACATGATAAATGTGGCAATTTATCATGTGATATTCCAGAGGAACAACTGGATTAGTCTGCTGCACCAGAAAAGAGATTAAGAAACGTGTTTTAAAGATTTACAGATTTAACATTCACAAACAATTAGCACAATTTTATCAACACAGCAATTCCTAAATTAATATATACAATCGATTTTGAGGTCTGGTTCTCTAAATAGCTGTGTCTCAAATAGTACAGTAAATTTCTAAATGTGGAAGTACTTCAGGCTCAAACTCTTCTGAGTTTGAAACAGGTATCTTGAGCTGGAAATTAGACCATTTCAAGACTGAAACTTAACAGAATGGTTGAAAATAATTTATTTTGAATTTGGACTTCAAAATTTAGGCAACTGTATCCTCAATAATAAATATACATTCTTGCTTTGAATAAAAAAATTGGGCAAATTGGAAATAAATTATTTTCATTTTCTTAATTTTTAAAATTGTTCATAAAGTTAATCTTTCAAAATACCTTCCACTAGGCAAGATAAATAGTTGAATGATAATTTGGGAGACAATTATAAGATGAGGGCCTATTGGCAATCTCAAAATGATAAGCAGGTTTGGATCTAGTTCATTTTAGGTTGGGAGACCACTTTGAAATTTCAGTACTGAGCAGTGCAAATTTTCTGGGTTTCTGCAAACAGATTTTATATTTCTACTGATATACCAAGATAACATCTCTTGAACACATTCCTCTAATATATCCAGAGTTCTGGCACCTTTTTTGGATGGAACCTTGTAGGGTAGGCAAGGCAGGTTGTATGACGTGTGTGAGTTCCACAGCACCTTTTTTTTTTTTTTTTTACAAAAAGCACTGATTACATCAAACAATTTTTCAAATCTCTCCTTCAAGTTAGCTAGATGTAAGTTTATACTTGTGTATTTGAGATTAATATTTGTTTAGAAATAACAATTGTAGCCTCTGGTCATCTCCTGGATTTGTCATTGTTAATAGACAATAAAAAACCCCAAGTTTAACATTTGTTAAATATTTAAAGAAAACAAGAGATGTAACTAACTACAAGGGAAAATTTAATTTTCAAGATCAAGTTTGTTCAAAGAAACAAAGTGTTGATTCATAAGATTGGGAAATAAATTTGCATAATATTTGACTAATTTGAGCAGTGGTGCAGTTACCATGCCCATCCCCATTTCGAGACATTGTTTCTCCCAAGCATCTTCTTGAGCCAGGAGATCATATCTGCCCACTTCGCCTATTGCTTTCCTCAACTTTCCTCAGTTCAGCTTATTTTCCAGTTATAAGCTACTTGTATCACAAACCTCAAATATGCGCTTCTGCCTGTGAAGAATAGTGCTCTTAATAGGGTAAAAGGTAAAGCTCTCTCGAGTTGAACTCAGCTCGATGACTTTATGGAGGTGACCTTGTTGTTTCCTTGGCAACAATAGATATGGTTGTCATTGCCTTGTTTTATTTATTCTACAGCCCCTGAAGCATGACGGAGCTTGCAAATGAAATCTTTGAAAAGGCTTTATAATTAAATGGAGAACAATTTCCCAATTAAATGGAGAACAATTACTTATTGCATGTTTGCTTGGATAGGAAACAGACGAACTCTTTAGTATACAGCAGGATCCAATCTGGGTCGGACACACTCCAGCATGACTCTGAAAGATCAGAAAACAAAATCTCTGGTTCCAGTGATCAACCCAGATTGGATCCTGCAGCATTTTCCTGGGACGTGTATATTCACCTTCATTCATTGTTAGTATACATCCACACCTAGCAACCTAGCATTCAGAAATAGAAATTACATTTCAGAAGTTCTATTTCCAAGTCAGAAATAAAAATATTTCTCACCTTGTTTGCTTGCATAACCTTCACTGAGAAACTGCATGCTTAGTGGTTTTGGTTACTGTTTTGAAATACAGTTGTGACATTTACATTTACTCTAATTTGATTACAATATATCTACAGTGCCTAGAAAAATGTATAAATAAGCAAGGACTCTTTCATACTGCCTAATACATATGTACCTTACTGATGGTAGTTTTTGATTAACATCATTAACTATAATTGCAATTTATTATGACTGAATCTGAAATGGTGAAAAGCTTTCAAGGAAGTAGTTTCTCAGTAATCAAAAAAAAAATATCTGAGAGTAGTGCAAAGAAAAGAAAATAATTGAAGCAACTTAAATGTTTCCAATTAAAATATTTTTATCTGTGTCCACAAGAAATTCTATTTTAACTCTTCGGTGACTAGGATGGATGCTTAGAGACTGCATCTCTGCCATACATAAATGCCACAATTTTTTCAGGCCAAATTCAGCTTTTGCCTGAAGCACTATGGACTGTTTGGTGGACAAAATTTTAAAAGGTCTTAAAGTATCGTAATAGTTTTTTTTTAATTTTTCACATTAAAGTTACAATTCAATAAGGGTATCTGTAGAGGCCACACACACAACTTTGGGCAATGGAGAAAAATGCAAGATTCCTGAGGGCCCAGATCACTGTCCTATAAAACTGAGTAGTTTACTTGGAAAAGATGAGATACCTTTGAGAGAAAAGAACGATCCTGTTGTCAGAGGATATGAAACCAGTCAAAGTAGAAGTACTTTTACTATTAGAAATACAGTTTACTATCTGGTGTGTTTTTGTTCCAAATGTTATTTTGATCACCATGTTGTTGCTCTTTTGATAATTTTATCAGCTATATCTTTCTGTGATTTTGCATATGCACCTGTTTGTCTTATAAATGGCTTCTCCTGAAGAGGATAATTTTTATTTTTTTTAATTATTCAGATGCCATGGCACATTCCCTTCCTGGAGTATGCTTTAAAAAAAAATCTGTACAGGGTCCTTTGAAGCCTCAAGTATTGGCCAAGTGATCAACTCCAAGATAGCAAATAAGAGTTAGATTTAACTGAAGTATAGTAATATATTTCATTGCTTCATGCATACGTTGAATCCCTCCTAATATATAATTAGAATACACATACACACAACACACACTGTAATATATAACTGATAGATATAAAAGTGAAAACAATACAATTGGACAGATGAGTGTAGTCTAGTGTTACATGGTAAATATGGTTGTACACATATTTTGAATGCATATTTATATATTAGCAGAGAGCTAAATCTGAAACATTACTGTCAGTTTTGGAAAAGCGACTTTGGACTTTGGATTGAGAGGTCATACTCTCTCAATCCAACCCACCTTACAGGGTTGTTAATGTAAGAAAAAGAGAAGGAAAATGTGTTGGATATATTTCATTGCCTTATTTGTAAAAATAGAAGGATATAAATAAATAAATAAATAAATAAAAGAACCATTCAACCAATGCATGAATCGCTTTTCTGATTTATTTTAATTAAAATATCTACAGAAGAGTTTTAATATGGGACTAGTAAGAGCCCTTTTTGCTTTTTAAAAAATCTTCCTTATTCCTCTCCCAGCCACTATTTGCATTACAGATAAGCACAACTATGTAATTATTTTTTGTCTATAGGGTTACCTGCCTCATGCCACATAGTCATTATATAACTTGGTCCTGACTTTGTGTTAATTTAATCAAGCCATTGTGCTTTGCAAAACATGATTTTACAGCTATGTATATTATTTGAATTCAGTCTAAAGCAGATCACATCTTCCATTCATAACAATAGCACTTAGACATATGGAATAGCACTTAGACTTATATACTGCTTCATAGTGTTTTACAGCCCTCTCTAAGCGGTTTACAGAGTCAGCATATTGCCCTTAACAATCTGGGTCCTCATTTTACCAACCTCAGAAGGATGGAAAGCTAAGTCAACCTTGAGTTGGTGAAACTCGAACTGCAGAACTGCTGGCAGGCGGCAGTCAGCAGAATTAGCCTGCAGTACTGCATTCTAACCACTGTGCCACCACGGCTTATTATGTCAGGATTATATTTTGAGGTAGAAACTGAGGTTTTCTCCCATTACATTTCTGCTTTGTAAAACTCAAGGTTGAAGGAAAATGAACATCCAGTATAGGAAAAGTCTCCTTCAGTAGGATCCACAAATTTTTGCTGCTTTTACTCAGAATGATTAAAGCAGAATTGTAAACTCTGCCCCTTTTGGGTGTACATGCATGTGACACTATGGAAAAGGGCTTGGAAAAGGACAGGGCTTGGGTCATGAAGTTGTCATGCTGCTCATATCATTCCCATCACCTTTGTTCCACTAAAAATTACCCTCAGTCTACCTCAAGGTGAGCCTGATTCCTCATAAATTTGTGAACATCTCTACACAGGCTTTTCTGGCATAGCATCAAAATGATTTGCCTTTTCTTCTGGAAGGTTTTTGATCTCCCAGTCTGACCATTCATGGATAACCAGACTTATCTAGTTTAACTTCTGAATCCAGGCCAGGTCAGAAAACTGCTCCAAACTGAAAGAAACAGCACACATTTTTAGTTATCTAGAATGTTGTTCTCACCTGGATTCCTGATTATTGCCACATATCAGTTTAAAGAAACTGTACACACCCATATTGTGTATGCTTAACCTTTCGTTAAGTAACTAACAGAAACGCCTTAAAAAGCCATTGCTAGATATGTGGTAATCCAAGATTTGACAGTTGGTTTTCTGGAAGCTCATTAACAACATTCACTCAGTCACTATTTCTATTTTTTAAAAAGTCACCTTGTTTAAAAAATGTGCCACCCTATTATCTGCCTATTATGTAGTAGAATCTGCAATTAGATTTACTTATATTGTTGAATTTTATGTTCTGCCACTAGATTTATATAAACTACCAGGAGTCCTGATGGAGTTGAGAATTCAGGTGGTCCTCGACTTATAACATGTGACCGTTCAAAGTTACAAAGGCACTGAAAAAGCGACTTTTTCACACTTACCATTGCAACATCCCAATGGATGTTCAGACACTTGGCAACTGGTTCATATTTATGGCAGTTGCAGTGACCCAGGATCATGTGATCCCCTTCTGCAACCTTCTGACAAGCAAAGTCAATGGGAAAGCGAGATTCACTTAACAATTGTGTTATTTACTTAACAACTGCAGTGATTCACAGAACAATTGTGGCAAGAAGGATTGTAAAATGGGGCAAAACGCACTTAACAAATGTCTCAGCAGCATACATTTTGTGTTCAATTGTGATCATAATTTGAGGACTCCCTATATAGAAACATTTATAACATATAAAGAAATAATCTTCCTGGTTCATTTTAGATTCTGAAATTTTAAGAACTAATCTATGTTTATTCAAAATATTTTTTGATAATGAGGATTGCTAGGCTTACTTTATACTTTTAGTTGTTTGAGAAAAATGTGTGCCCTGATTTTTTTTTTTTTTAAGTAGCTCATGACAAAATGCTTAATTATACTAATTTCAGGCAGTGCTTTGGAATTTGAAGTACCTCAGCTGGAACATTTTACCTGCTGCTTTGACTATATTGTGGAGAAAGGTCACACAGATTGTGACATGGGTCATTTCAGTAGTAATCATCATCACAGATTTCATTGCTCCAAAAAATTTCTTTTGGAGCAAATCTGAGTAACAAAAGTACATTAAGAACTGAAAATATAAATAATTTTGTAAGTATTTATGGCTTCCCAATCTAAACGTTTGGAAATCTAATAGCAATCTGTGCATCAATCTTTGGGTAACATATTTTGTTTGTGTTTAAATGTATATTTTTGTTAAATAAATCTACAGTAAACAAATCTCAGAACAGTCATTTTAAAGTTACTTTAAAAGACATGAAATGACTGGATTGGGTGCTACCAAATGCTTTTAGAACAGTCAATGTTGCTTGTTGTGTTGCTTTCTATTCAAAAAATAAAAGTTTATACCAATGTGCAGTATTGGAATATGGTAATAGGCATGGAGGGAATATGACTATTCCAAAATATTTGGGGGGGGGTATATAAATTGGTTGGGAAAGGCTGTCATAAAGTTGGATTCCATATGATAACTGATAATATATTTTAACTATGATTTAGTGAACATAACACAGTGGTCATAGTGCAAAGCCATTATTTATCAATTTAGATTTTATGAGATGCCAGAAACAACAAACAAAACAAACATCATGGCTTAGCGTTAAGTCTACAGAAATTGGTATGAGCATTTCATTAGCCTAAATAAAAGAAATAAAATGGACTGGGCAAGTAAGGAAACTGGATAACTAACTTCTGTACTGTTCTTAGAAATCCAGGGACAAACAGTACACAGTCAGAAGGGCAGACGAGGCAAAGTTTGTTCACCAGATTTATTAGATATTTTACTACTTTTGTACATGTTAGGCAAATATGGTTGCCTATGCCCTAAATAAACAATGTGGTTTATTAAAGCAATACATTTCAAGCCACGCCGGCTGTCACACCCCCTTGCGCTGCTAGCGTCTGTAGCCGTTTACAGTTTACACAATCGCCTGTTCGGAGTAAACGCAGGCACGCTAAAACGGTTTAAAAAGTTTGCTTTCCATCTCGGAGAGAACCTGAACCAATCACCTCCCCTATTTACCGACCGGTACAGCAATGGCACATTTTTTACTTTTAAAGCAAAGTTCTCCGCGTGCTCGTTCATTCTCCCGGGCGGGCTTTAATAATAAACTCAAATCCCTTCAGCCTTTAAAAAAAAAAAAAGAGGCGGGCGGGCGGTGATTTTCTTTTTCTTCCGCGCGGGAACTTGCAAAAGACGCGGCCGGGTTTCGTCGGCTAGCCGAGCGCGGCGGTCCAGCCCTTTGTACATAAACCACACCCACAGGCAGCCTCCAAAAGCGGCCCCTGCTTCTGTCTACTTACTGCCGGCGACCGGCTGAGTTTTTCGTCCTTCCTTCGCCCGGGCCAACAGGAACTGCTGCATGTGCTAACGAGAGCTGCAGCCGGGCCTGTTCTGCATTCGCCCTGCCTGCCTGTCGCCAGTTATGTTCAACTACGACGAGGCCACCGCCTTTCTGGGCGAATGGGGCCCCTTCCAGCGCCTCATCTTCTTCCTGCTCAGCGCCAGCATCATCCCCAACGGCTACACGGGGCTGTCCGCTGTCTTCTTGGCCGCTACTCCCGAGCACTGGTGCCGGGTGCCCGCTAACGCCAGCCTGAGCGCGGAGTGGCTCAACGCCAGCATCCCCCTGGAGAAGCGCGGCGGCCGGCAGGTGCGGAGCCAGTGCAGCCGCTACCGCCTCGAGGCCCTGCTCAACTTCTCCGCCGGCAACTTGGTGCCCGGCCGCGATGTCAATCTCAGCCAGGTGGAGCAGGAGGAGTGCCTGGACGGCTGGGAGTTCAGCCGAGAGTATTACGACAACACCATTGTCTCCGAGGTAGGCAGGTGCGTGCTGACTTTTGAGGCGGGGGCAGGGGGGAGGAAGGCGGCCGGCAGCGTGACGGCCTCCCAAGAGATCAAAACCAACCGGGCAGGGGTGTTTGGAGATGAAAGCTACTAGACAATATTAGATTTCAGTAATCTTCCAGTTATTAGTAGAGTACTCATAGTACTGTACTAATTTTAAAGAAAATAATAAATATGTGACTTAATGAAAATACAGTTCTTTGCCCCATGCATATATTCTTGAATAATCCCCCAAATGTTTTTTTTCAAAATCCTCCTGAAATAGATTTTCTCTGATAATGAAGCAGTTCCATTTATAGTATTTTTGTACTGTATTTTAACAGTACGTTCCCTGGGTGGCCTTCAGAGAGTCTAGTCATCCAAGATCTAAAATGTCTGAATTGAAGACCAGCAATAGTAGTTACCAAGATCTAAAAAGCATTAAATCATATTTTTAAAAACTTTATATTTTTCTTTCTTTAAAAAAAGTTTCACCTGAACAGACCAGGATTGTGAGAAAGACCACTTCTTAGGCAGCCACCCATATCATTCAATAAGAGATTAATAAATTTCTTTAAATATGATCTTAAGATCCAGATAAATATAGTGAGGTATGGGAGAAGATAAGCTTTTGTTTCCATCATTAATTTTATTCATTGACTAATAAAATAATCTGCTTCAGGCAAATATGTGCACCAGAAGGTCTCACATTCCTGTTGGAATCTAACTCTGGAAGTTAGGTTGTAGAATTTGCCTCGCAATTCAGAGTAACCTGTTTGTTTGATTTGTTTGTAAGATTGTTTTAGCCTGAGCTGTTCATTAGTTTGATGTTGTACCTGTCTTTATGGATTTTTCAGTTTTATATACTGCCCAGAGTCCATTGGAGTTTGGCAGCTAATACGTTCAAATAAATAAAAAAACCTCACCAACATCTCCAAGCAGAATCAGCCTATCCTGTCCTGTCCCTGCAGTACTTGTGGAGATGCTCATGATTCCCTTACATCAGGAGTGAGAGCCTAGAATATCTTCTCAGTGGTAACCTCAAATTCTGGAATCAGCTTCTTAGATCCCTAAGATGACTGCCTAAGATGCAGACCATTTTTTATTTTTGTAGCATTTTGCTTGTTTTTTTCTAGTATGTTCAATTATATTTTCAATTGTTATATTTTCATTGGCTTACTAAGAATTAGAATGTAATACACAGTACACAAGTTTGGGACTTACGTAAATGAATTCACTGCATGGGATGACTGCTCAGAAGAGATTACTTCAGAGAGATGAAATGCAATAACTATTCTTATTGAAGTACAGTATTTTTAAAATTAACTTGATAATAGTAGCCATTTAATTATAATGTTTGTATCTTTCTGTAAACATATTTTCGACAAATTCCAATTCAAAAACTAAAGTCCCCCAACTTTTTCACATATAGAGACTCACACTATTAACTGTTACATTCAATATCCAACCCACATTTTTGAAGCCTTTTTTCTGTTTAGAATTTCAGATAATGTTCAAACAAGCCTTGTTGCATAAATTTCTCCAAGAAGTTGCGCAGATGGAATACTTCTTAGAATTGCTAGAACTCCTCCCTCAATGTAGGTTTAAATTTGAGACTTAAATATTGTACCTTCCTTTATGAAAATAATCCTCTTAGGCTGTAATCCTATTTATGGTTATCAAATAGTTAGGTCAACTTCAGTACAGTGAGGGCATTTGAGAAAATAAGTAAAAGATTATGCTTTTAGTCTATATAAGCTCCTAAATTATAGAGCCAGTTTGGTATAGTGATTAAGATGCTGGCCCAGAAACTAGAAGGCTGTGAGTTCTAGTACTGCCCAAAACATGAAAGCCAACTGTGTGACTTTGGTCCAGTCAGCCTAATCCACCTCACAGGGTTGTTGCGGGGAAAATAGAATGAGGAAAGAGTATTAGGTATGTTCACTGCCTTAAATTACTTATAAAGTGATAAGGATGGGATAAAAATCTAATAAATACTATGTATTAGGGCAGTCAGAAGCTTTGTAGCAGATGGGAGATAAATGTAAGGCCTGTTTGCTGCTCTTTAAAGAGCTGTATCTTTGGCCAGAATCATGTGGCAGCTGCAAATTGAAAGAATTCAGCTCTTTAAAGAATTGCAAACAAGTGCTATGTTTGTATACCGAGTTTTTTTCTGAATTAGTTCCAAAATGCTCCACAGTCCCACTAGGTTTTGCATTAGACATACAAGGTGTGTCACCCTATTTATTTTTAAATATTTATAATATTTATTTTTATAGATCACATGTTGGGTATCTCAGCTTTACTGAATACTAGACAACCCGTGACTCATTATTTCAGAGACACTTCCTTACTTAAACAGAACGACCATGGGTGGGCAAAAAAGCAGTAGAAGCGGAGGAACTTCTGACTTCCTGCCAGCTTTCTCTTTGACTTTTCTTGTAGGAAGCTGACCAGAGCATTGGAAATGAAGATCACATGACTGTAGCTGTGGCAGCACTGTAGCAGTACATCTTTGCCAAATTTCAATCCCACAGGAGTCATTGATCCCAAATTTTGGACAAATGTTGGTCTGTGTTAGACTATTTAAGTCACATTGATTAAAAAAATTGATGTCCTACGCTGCACCATTTCACCCAATTGAAGGTTGGCAAACAATCAAATGAATACAAAAGTTTTATTAGTATATAAATGATGGGCTCAAATTTGAATGACTCAAAATTTCAATAACTAGTTGGTGGGATTTGGATAATTAAATATACATATATAGATGTGTGCATGTGTATGTGTGTGTATAATGCAATATGGTTTATAATATTGAAATGTGCATTTTTAATAACCCATTAATGTTTCTACGTGTAGCCCCGTGCTTCTTCAGTATTTTTGCTTTTAAGTAATAAAACTAGTTCAATTTTCTAAAATCTCTTTATGTGGACCTGACTTCAGACAAAAAGCGAATGGTAAAATATAGCAAAACAATAGTGCCTAATAATTAATCCTCAGTGATTTAGATTAAAAGACTGAAAAATAATAGCTTCAGAGACAAGAGTGTCCTCATCAGTCACAAGTTTGGCAGAAGCTTATTTGTCTCCTGTCTGACTCTCTAAAAACCTGTTATAATTGGTATTTCATTAGCAAAGTTTTATTGACTCTAACCGCTTTTAAAATATAACCTGTGTTTTTCCTGAAGAAGTTGTGTAAGATGTACATGTAACCTTTCACCCACTTTTTCACTTCTAGTTTTACGTTTGTTTAACTCCTAATCTGTTGACTCATGCTTGCCAATATGTTTCCAGCTGAATTGTATATTTTAGTTTCTCTAGTCATTTTATCAGAGGGTAATCTCTGTCTAAGAATTAGCCTTTCATGACATCTAGGGCAAAAGTGCTTAAGCTTGGTGTAAGTTGCATTCCACTTCTTAAATTCCCATGCTATATTCTAGTGCATATTTGGAAATGCTTCCTTTTTTGGGATGAGGTGTTATGTAACAGAGTATTAGGTTCGCACACTGTTCTAAACTATTTCTTAATCATAGTGCATTGAATAAGCCACAATACCTGGGTTTTGGAATTGCTTACAACTGCTCCATACAATGGCTCCCTGGAAGAAGACAAATCAGAGCCTTCAGAATGACACCAAGTTCACATACTTCTGTTCTTACTCACTTCTAGAAATTTCTTGTTAATTGGATCTCCCTCCTTCCCTCCCTCCCTCTCTCTCTCTCTCTCTCTCTCCATCCATCCATCCATCCATCTCCATACTTTGGAAAGGTAAGATCGATCACATAGGATGAGTCTCCTTCAATTCTTGATGAAAGCAAGTTTTATGCAAGTTTAAGAACTTTAAAAAAATCTTCTTTTGGAACACACAGCAAAAGTGTGATTAGAAAATTGATCTGAAAAGTTATAAACGGATTAGGAGCTAGATGGATTTGAAATAAGATTTTGAAATTAATTATAAAAGTCTTTGTTTTTCATCTTTCTGTTCCAATACACAATCATAGGCTGTCCCGAATGTTTCTGTTAATTCCAATTAACCTGTGATTTCTGTAGCTCATCTTACTTGCTCTTACCCTGTGGAGACACTGCCTTTAGCTGGATTATTAAAATATATGGGCCGTTTCCTCACTAATAGCATATTACAGTGCATTTTCTAGATTCATACAACCATATTGTAACAATATTCAGACACATTTTATATCACGTAAAGTGATATCAAGCTACAATAAATCACTAATCACTAATGGAGATTTGATCTATGAGGCAGGAAAAGACCCAGAAATTTCCTTTTAATCGAAAATAAAGCTGCAAGTTTACTGAGACTGGTCAAAATGATCATATAAGCCAGTGCTTTATCAGTTGCATTGGGTCCTAGTCCATTTCTAGGCTCATTTCAAAATGTTGAGACTTCTCTTTAAAACTTAAAATGGTTTTCATACATGTACAATGTAATGTCCTCTAGATGCTGTTAAACCCCAGTTCTTAGTAACCCCAGCCAATAGACCAGTAAAGAGGGATGCTATCATAGCCCTTTCAGAGGCCGGTTCGGAAGAGGAGGAAGAAGAGTTGGAGCAGGACCATCTGACAGAGAAGGCACGCCAGGGGCTGAGGACGATGCTGTTCCTGGCCCCTTAGGCATTAGGGGAGCTACTGTAGTTGACCAGACGGAGAGTTGCCTGCCTGCACAGACCCAGAGGAGGATCTGCTGACAAGCAGTGGTGCTGATAGGAAGCCAATCTCCTCTGATAAAGAATAGCTGCCTACTCCACTAATCCAAGGGTAAGGAGAATGGAGTGTGGGCAAGCCCAGACAAGGGCTGCAAGGCTACTTGGGAGGAGGTCACCCCATCCCTCATCACAAGGAACTCCTGGAGGGGAATAACTTAAGGGAAAGCCATGGTGAGTTACTCTTTGCCAGGAACAACTGTTGCTTTGGCTTACACTCCCCCGGCTTTTACTCGTGTCTGTTGTTGTTTGTCTGTTGCTATTTGTCT